ACATACCGCCACTGTGACTTTCTGACATGAGAACGGAGTCGGCCATGGAAGCCTGACCAAAGGCCGCGGAGTCCATCGCTGGCAGTACCTGGCCCACGGCTGCCGAGGGATGGGACAGCTCCGGCCCACGGACTCTGGTGTCATGGTCCTACTGCCAGAGCCGTCGTTTTGGAGATGGGTGAATCAGACTCCTAGTTCCGATTCCAGGCACAGTGGAAGCTGGCATCCTGCTATACACTTAAGTCTTGTGAGCTTGGCTAAGGAGTCCTTCTCGGAGCGGTGTCTTCAGTTCTCAGTGCCACTCTGGCAGGCTGCGGCTCCGAAGCTGGTCCGCCTGCTTTCTCAGTCGGCTGAGTCTGCCGGGAGGGGCCGGAGCTGCGGCTGAGGGGCCTGTCTTCTGCCCGCGCTCCCCGAGCTGTCCTCCCCTGACCCTTCCTGCATGGGGCGCCGAGTGCCTAAGGACAGCCTGTCAGCTCCACAGTCACAAAATGTAGAAAGCTGATCCTCAGTCCCTTGAACCTTGTGGAGGACAGCAAGAGGCCCCTTCTGGGACCTGCCAGGTTTCAGAGTAACCAGGGAAGGAAGACATGGGAGCAACAGAAAATCTGTTCGTCTCTTGAATGCCAGCTGGTGTGCACTGGCTAAGGGGACTCAATGGCCTCATTTGGGAGAAATCGCCCCTGAAGAGGTGACTTTAGGTACTCTGTACCCATGTTTTGTATGTTGGGGTTGGGGCTCCATTTTTGTGGACTGCCTTTTTTAAGTTATCTGTGTCTTCTAGCAAAATTTAGATGTTTGTATTACCACCATCTCCAGGGACTCTTAAGACTCTTCTGTTGGCACCCCTCCTATGTTTGAAAACCCTTTTAACTTCCAGTCTTCCCTTGAGATTTACCCTCCTGGCCACTCCACTGCCCTACTGAGCATGAGCGAATGGAGGAGGACCAAACCCAAAGTAGCTCCCACTCCGTCCCGTGCTCAGGGTGCCCCGTTTACCACAGGTAGCGCTCCAAGCCAGACACGTCCCTTCTGCCTCACCTTCCACTCATGTCGGCATCCCAGGACCTCACGGTCCCGCATATCCTCGTGGCCACCATGGCCTCGAGCGCCAGATGGAGTTCCTTCTGCCTGTGGATCCACCCCTCTTGGCCCAGGGCACTTTCCCCTCATCACTCACCTGAGCTAGTGACTCGCTCCCCACCCAGGGCTGCCGTACCTGCTTCCAGAGCTGCGTCCTTACCGCCCTGGTGCAGTCGGGACCGAAGCAGATGGAGAAGAGCCCTTCTGGCCCCTCACCCCAGCTGGGAGTTGGCAGACGGTTTGTGAAACTGTGGCCGAGTTCTTCCCTATCTTTCTCCGGGTTCCGAGCAGAGTTTGTTCAACAAGACTCGTTTCTCTCCAGAGTCCATTTTGTTCTTATATTCTCATGCCTGGGATTTGAGCTTCCTGAAGGAGCCACTGAGTTCAACTCCAACCAAATAATTAGATTATGGTTATGAATACATATATAATTGTCATTTTTCCCACTTCTGGCTTTGCGTTAGCAAAACAGGAAATTGGAAGTTTAAATACCAGTCTGTCCTTTCCCACATAGTGTCTGAGTGGCAGTTTTTATCTTGTTATGAAAGCTGATTGCATTTTCACCTGACGGTATCTTAAGTTAGACCTCTGTTCTTAAAAATATTCTTAAAAGTTTTAGATGCTAGATTTAATAAGATTTACAACTTTTTTACTAACCTCTTATTTTAGAATCTGAGTTATTTCCATTTCTGCAGTTATAGTGGATTTACTGAGTTACCAGAAAGGAAGGTAAGTGCCTTGTCACCTCCCACGGGCAAAGCTGGAGACAGGCCCAGTCACCATCCAGGGGCCCAGCAACGAGGCCTTTCCCTGCTGGTGAAATGTGGGCTTTTCGTTCCCCCCAGGTCTCAAGTTACATCAAACAGCAGACGCAGGAGCAGTTTCAGATGATAATCATTTCCCTAAAAGAGGAGTTATATTCCAAAGCCGATGCGCTGATAGGCGTCTATCCAGAGGTAAAGATCAGCAACAGGGAGAGGAGAAGTGTCCCTGAGTTCTTTCCTGACACCTCATCACAAGTACCGGTGGAGTCTGGAGATACGCTTTGAGTTCTGGAGTTGATAAATATAGGCCTAAATGATTTTTTAAACCAAATGAGATTTTAAAAACTCGTATTTTTCTATGGCAGTACACAGAAATTTTAAAGATAGGCTTTAAGTGAAAAAAGCAAATCAAAACTTGCAGAACAGTTAAAGGTACGAGCTAACGTACACAGCAAACTATTACTATCCTATTTCCTATTTTTCTAATGTTTGAATGTTTTAGGCAAAATAAATGCATTGTGGGTAGCACTAAAGGACCAGAGGAAAAAACAAGTTGATCAGACATTCCAGGTTGTATAAATTCACACCCACCTTTCTTAAGCTGTTCAAAATACTGACCTGAGCTAATGGAGTAGAGCAGCTAATTCAGATCATTCAGTTTGGGGACAGTTAGGCTTTACTTCCTGAGTTTTCATTTAAACGAAGATAAAAATTAACTTCCCTTCCTGTGCCCCCAAGATGTGAGGGGACCCCTGGAAATTCTCATTCCAGCGTAGGGGAGCCAAAAAGATCTTCCTCCTCTACCCATCTTAGGTTCTCTGTAAATCAGACTGGCAAAGGCAGCTCAACGAGAAAAACCGCTCGTACCGCGCGCCCCGCACATGCGCACGGCGGACGCACCTGGTGAAGCGTAATCCCAGGGCTGGCTGGCTGGGACTTGGGTTTCTACCCCGTTCCAGGATAAACCAAGGGGAAGGGGCTTGGGGCTTCCAGGTCAGGGAGGCAGGTGAGGGGAAGGTGAGGAGTGGGGCGAGCGCGGAGCGAGCGTCCTCCTGCAGCAGCGCGTCACCTTTGCCCGTGGGACGCTCGTGCCCACTGTCAGCAGCCCCTCGGCGCGGGCATCTGGGCTGGCGTGCGCGCGCACCTTCACCAGAGAACGCACCAGCAGGAAGCGGACCTAACCGGAGACCAGTGACTAGAAGGAGGCCCCTTTTTAAGTGCGAATCCAGGTTCCCTAGTGGCCCTTCCTTGACGTTTGATGACACTTCGTCCCTAAGCAGAGAGCTGACTCTCTGCTGTCCTCTCTCATTTCAGCACGATGACTGCATGTTCAGCAGAGTTCTGACCCTGGATCTTTCTCAGTATCCAGACACCGAAGACCAAGAAGGCAGCAAAAGAAATCGAGAGTTGCCTTAGGACCGCGAGTGACCCCGAGCCAACAGGACAGTCGGGCAGGTCAGGGTCACCAATGCTTAGTCCTTGCTCCTCAACAACAAAGCGCGGGAGCAGTCGAGCGGCCTGTGCCACCGTGACCTACCAGACGCTGGAGCTCGCTTCCGTCCAAGTTCAGGCCCCTTAGCGTTGCATGGGTTAAAAAAAAAGGTGCAATTTTGTACCATAGTTTCAACTGCCATTTTGAAAGCCAGTCAGAAGAATGTTGAATTCTGCATTATTTTCACTCAGGTCTTGCCTTGTACGTTTAAGTAATCTTTAAGAGAAACTCTTGGTTCTCAAATGTACTAGTTATAGGGCATAGAGCCTGGATTTTATAGTTATTTCAGAGAATGTTATCAATATTGAAAATATCAATAAAGAATATTCTAATTTCAAATGTCTCCAAACTACAATTATAGAAACAACAAAAAAGTATTTTAAGGTGAAACTGAATTATGTCCACCTCAGTGAAATCCAAATTTCTCTAAGTATAATTTCTGTTAACAAAATACTGAAGAACACAGGCTTTCCCAAGTAACTGACTTCCCTACTTACACACATTGTTATGGGGAGGAAAGGAAGTTGCCACATTTGCAATAATACTTCATTTCCATTTCAAGATGGACTAAAATTTCGTACCTAGCAGAGTAGCTCCCTCACTGTGATCTACTGAAAGTCACCCCTCCACACAAGGGTTTGTAAACACATAAACATAAAAATAAAGCAACACAACATGAAATAAAACAGAATTCTGAGGTGCTGGTGGTCTTCACTGAAGACTGGGCCCACCTGTGGACGGGGGGTGTGGGGGGGGCGGGGGGAGGCCTGAAGAAAGAACCATCACTTGTGAGCGCTGCTCACCACTCACCGCTTCACGCAGACTCAGGGCACCCCGTGCCCAGCAAGTAGACCACAGCCACACACATGCTTCCTGCCCTCACCCCACCAAGCTCTAGCAGCTGCACAGGGCAAGCAGAAGCCACTCGATCCGTCCTCTGCTCCTTTTTTTAAGAAACCATCGGCAATACCCTCTAAATCACAGACTTCCTCTGCCTCGGAAAACATCAACTTCACGTTGAAATGTCCCTGTCGGGCCCCATGAGCTCAGAGCAGTCCCTTATCACTGCCTGGGCTGTTCTCACTCCCAGTGATCCCACAAAGTACGGTCCGTTTTGTGAGAGCACCACGCACCCCCATTCCTGCCAACCGCGGGACGATGGGGGGGTGCGGATGGGGCGCTGCTACCAAAGGGCCTTCATCACCCCCCCCCGCCCCGAGCCAGTGCTTCTCACCGACAAAATCACCCCCAAGCAAATGAGTGATGCTCAAATTGTCTGACAGATCAATCCTGTTGAAAGACGTTTGCATTTTAATACAAGCATTAGCAGAACTGACCGCAGATCTCCCCGTTCGTGAGGGCAAGGAGGCACTCGATGCTCATCCTGAGCTGGTTCCACTTTTCCAGTCTCATATCCTCTCTTCCACATCATTTTCCATGCTTGTCTACCCTGTGTCTAACCAACTTTCAGATTCATTCATCCCTGATTGCACTTTGTAAACGTGTCTTTAAAAAACCAACAACTTAAATATTTGCTTTTTTTAAAAAATTTAAACACATTCAAGTAGTCATTTGACTTCCCAACTGATAACTCAGGATAAACGTTCTCATTAACTACATCACATCAAGCCCTGTCAGAACTAAAGTTGAGCACACAAAGTTGCAGTTAAAATTTTATTTATGACCAGAGTAACATAAGATTTTTCATGCTTCAAAAAGAAAAAAAGTCTTAAGCGGATCTCTGGCTTCTCTCTCATTCACAACACATCCCAACCTTGTGTTTTCTGTTCTTAACTTTCTACCTGGGGGAGCTCCAGCGCCTTTGATGGGGAGTGTCATGGGATTTGGCAAGAAACCACATCAAAAATAGCAGCCTCTGAAAGGGAAAGTGAGCAGGGTCCCCGCCAGGGTCACAGTCGGAGCAGCTCCCGGCGTGCGGCTTTCTGCCCCTGGCTGACCCTGAGCGCTCCCAGGCCGCAGGCCCTCTAGAGGCTCTGCCTGCCTCACGGCGTGCGAACCCCAAGGAGGCCGGAGGAAGAGACTTTTAAGACACGAACGGAAAGGTTGGACCTTACCCCACAGAATAAAAACTCGGAAAACGGAATTTACACTCTAACTAAAAGCTGCAATCTTGGGCTTGTGCTCCAACTTGTCGTTTCTCAGCTGTTCGCCAGTGTGCGGACTCGGCCGGCACCGAGCTGCCGTCCGGGGCCCCTCCGCCGAGGTCAGGCCTGCCGTTCCGGGAGCTAAAGTCACTAAAATTAGGTGATTCCAAAGAAGGCCGCTGAGCTGGTCTTTTTCAAAACATCCCATTCTCAGCAGCAGATGCAGTGCCTCCAACGAGCACCGGCTCACGCTTTACTATTATTCAACAATGCAACAGACGCTTCTAAGTTTTTCTCCACGGTAACAGACGTTTCCACATAAAAATTATAAAATTTAAGTGTCTAGTTTTGTTTTGTTTTGTTTTTTTCCCTCTTTGGCAACTACTGTTGCTTGGACAGTCCTCACCCTCCCCTTCTTATTAGAAAAACCACCCAGACAAAGGGGGCGTGTGGCGCGGGAGCCCGGAGCCCGGGACCCCTTCCCACCGCCGTGGTCCCTGAGGTAGCTGGCCACCGGCCGCACAGCGGCCCCCTGACGGGTGCGCCTCACCGCCCGAGCAGTCACACCCCACGGCGGGACTTGCACGCAGCCCCCGAGGCCGCACAGCCCCACGGCTCTTCAGGGTGCGGGAGGGGTCAGCGGGAGAGTTCCCCCGCAGAGTTCTCCGAACATTCCTCATCGTTTGGGTTATGGCACTGTGGTTACAGAAGGCTGGTTTTCAAGTTGCAGATTTTATTGGTTTTAAAGATTTCAAGACCCTCCAGCATCATCTGTTTCAACAACAAAAAGAAGGAATACGAAAATGTTAAAATTCAGCTGAAAGGAGTGTTTGCAGAGGATCTCTAGTTCAGGAACTGTCTACGGCTTTTCTCCCACGCTAAACACTTTCAAAGTGACCCCCTCCGGAAGCAGCCACCGCCGCCCAGAGACATGGCTCTGGGACTCGTACAACCGTCAGGAAACCTCGACGCACAGATGTGGCCCTTTCCCTTCCTGGAGGACCGGGAGCGGGCAGTGGTCACCCGACGGGGGGGGAGGGGGGGGCACGTCACCACGTGGATGGCAGGAGCCCGCCGCAGGGCAGGGAGGACGGCAGCCGGCCACACTCCTCTGCGCTCTCCAGCCCCCGGGGACCCGGAGGGCTTCCCTGAGGACACATGCCTGCCCGGGGTGCTGGCATCGGGGATCCCCTGGGGCCCCACTGGCTCATCGGCCACAGCGCCCCCCTGCCCGGGGGCGGCCCTGAAGGGGGAGCCGCGCATACGCAGCCACAGCAGCACAACGGGCCCTGCCTTCTTCACTGTCACAAGTGACCAAGCGGCCCCAGACAGGGCGACAAACAAGGGGTGGGAAAGAGACCAGGGGGAAAAACCACCCGTCCTGGAGGAAAACAATCAAAGCGCTCGTTTCACTTTCTTCATTTTCATTTGCTTACAGATATCCCCACTAGCTGAATTCACACTCCAAATATCTGCCAAAGACTGGAAAGAATTGTATTCGAAATGCCAGGGAAACAGCCCTCTCCCCCTGCAGGTGCGTGTCCGAGGACCTGCTGCAGAGCTGGCCCGGAGTCCTCCAGAAGGCCCCCTCCCACCTCCCCCTGCGCCGGGCCCCCTCAGCGGCGACACTGTGCCCACAGCACTCAGCGCCGCCTGCTTCTCCTCCTGCGGTGGCGAGGGTTCCCCCAGTTGTTTCTCTCGACTCTGTTCCCTCCTCCGTGATCTCGTCCCGCTTGGACCTCCTGGATTGGTTTCTGCTGTTTTTCTCATGCGTTCATGTTCATGTTGTCTTTATCTTTTCCAAAACTTCCTGGGACGTTCTCAGATTTATGCTGTAGCCTTTGGGTTAAATTTTTATTGTGAGAGCGTTACCGTTAGTTTCTGGCAGCTCTTCTTTTCTGACTTGCCCTCCTTCAGAGCACCTCCCCTCCCCCACCCCCTTGGCCACGACTGCGATCTCTCTTCAAATTTCTAGAGACCCCAGGGGCTTCCCTGGGTACCTGACTCGACTCCACTCCTGAAAACACTGGGATTGAGGATGTTCAGATAACAGAGTTAACCTGTTATTACTTTAAATAAGAAAACATAAGCAAAATGCCCTTAAACACCTCTCTGATAACCCACTAAGAACATCTAGGGCTATGAAGCATGTCACATGTCAGGTCCCTGTTACTCAACATTTAAATGACGCCCTGGGGTGGGGGGTAATGTTTGAGCAGTGCTGGGACACTGCATTTTCCTTCTACATCATGAGGAACACGTGCTGTTGAAACAGTCTGTGGAGGGGCGCCTGGGCGGCTCAGTCGTGAAGCGTCTGCCTTCGGCTCAGGTCATGGTTCCGGGGTCCTGGGATCGAGCCCCGCATCGGGCTCCCTGCTCCGCGGGGAGCCTGCTTCTCCCTCTCCCTCTCCCCCTGCTTGTGTTCCCTCTCTCGCTGTGTCTCTCTGTCAAATAGATAAAGTCTTTAAAAAAAAAAAAAAAAGAAACAGTCTGTTGAAGATACAGAGATCGCTGATGAAGACAGAGAACACTGAAAACTGAGCCAGGTATATAAAAAAGATTTCCACCTAAATATACCTTCATCAAGTTTGAATGTGAGAAAAGAAAAAGAAGATCCTAAAAGCTTCCAGAAAGGAAAGCAACAGGTCACCTACAGGTCACAGAGACCTGAGCTGGCAACAGACCCTCTCCCAACAGGAAACCAGGACACGTAAGACAGCGGAGTCCCTCGGGGAAGTGGGAAGCAGAACCCCACATCCGACCGTGCGTGGAGAGTAAGGACCACGAGAAGACACCTACAGACACCCCGGGCCTTGGGGAGCCAGCCCGCCGCACACAGGGCTGTCACAGTCCCTCAGGGGCCTGCGCAGGAGAAAGAAGAGGCAGCAGCGGCCCAGGAGGGAGGGCAGCTTGGGCCTGGAGCGGAGCAGAAGGTCAGGGTCTCGGGAAAGGGGGGCAGGCGGTATGACTGAGAGAGTGCTACAGTAAAACACCGGGAAACGTTGATGTTTTTGGACAAGGCAAACAGAAATCTAGAAATGCCTCAAAAAATAAAAGGCAGTACCAGCAACTCCAACATGCAACAAGCAAAAAACGCATTTGCCTTTGATACTGAGCACATCCTGCAAACGACTCCGGGCCCGTTAACTCGGCACACGAGTCGGTGAACCAGGAAAAAAACATCTGCGCTGTTTTAATAAAGGAAGTGCTTTTGTTTCCAATTTTGAGACAACCGACAGGCAGACCGGGGGGCTCGCTGCGGCCGGTCCGGACCACGCGTCCAGCACTGCCCGCAGACAAGCGGCTCGGAGCGGGGAGCTGGCTGAGGGGGCGCGGCGGGCAGGGGCCGGGGCAGACTCAGGAGTCCCACCCGCGACCTGGGCAGCTAGAGATGAGGCGCCCTGGGCCCCGCAGGGAGGCCGGGCTGGGTGAGCGGCACCAGATCCCCTCCCGGAGGCCACAGGCCTGACCCACTTAGATCATCGGTTTCCGAACATCTCAGTCCGTGACGGAGGGAACAAGAAACAGGATTCGAAGTGTTTTTTTCTGGAGACTGAGAGGATGTAAGTCGGGGCAGCGGGCAGCCCTGAGTGCCCACCGGCGCTGCTCGGGGAACTGGCCGTGACTGAGTGGCAGGTGCGCTCCATGAAACCGGGTGACCCGGCGGGCGTGCTGCTGGCCTGGTGCGCGACCCCCAGCACCGAGACACACTCCCAGCCGAGGCCGCGCCCGCCACCCCGCCAGCCCCCTGACCACGCGGGGGGCCCCGCTGCGCAGAAAGCACCGTACCCGCGTCGGACCGGCGGGGCCGTTTGGAGACTTCCATTCCGTTCTCCTCCAGCTTCCTCTTGGCGCAGTCCTGACACGCATTCCCTGAAAGAGGAAAACCTTTACTTACAAGCTGATCTCTTCCAGAATCCACCCTTCAAGGACCCGTTTATAAATCTGACTGTACTGAGGCGCCGGCCCGCGACCCATGCCAGACGCCCCAGGGGACGCTTTGTCCCAAAGAGAAGGTGGATGTGGGAGGCACGTGTAAGTGACAGCGTGACTCTAATAAAGGTGTCCCTCCGCAGGGCAAGGAGGCAGAGACGCAAAGCGGAGCGCAACACTTGCGGGGTCCCTACGCTGAAGGCCGAGCACCGGGCGGCGCCCAGGGGCCCCTCTCCCCCTGCCCCGCACCCTGCCTGACCGAAGCAGACGGCCTGGCGCCGAGGCTCCGAGGCCACCGACGGGAGGACACCGCCGTGACCGAGCGCAGTCCTAGCTCGTGATTCGTTGACAGCCAGAGCTGAGCCTAGCGACAAGAACCTTCACCTTGCCAACCAGCAGCACGCAGAAAAATTTTATACAAAAGCTCAGAACCTTTGCAATGAACATTTTGGAAGGGGACGGGACGAAGCTACTACACCACAGACCCCATGGTAAAATACGAATCGAATCTCGTTCGGATTGCCCTGCAACTCTTGCTTGTGGGACGGGAAATCATTTTCAGGTGCCAGCACACAAGCCATGTTCACGCTGCGCCTCCCCGCCGGAGGGACACATTTTTAATCCCTCCACTGTCGCAGGGACCATCCCGAGGCCCCGCTGGTCCCCATTTCTGGTGGGGCCGGGTTACAACAGGCTAGGTATTTACTGCGAGAAACACTTTCACGATTCTACAGTGGCAGGAAGATAATGGAACGTGTAGGCAAAAACCAGGCTGGTAAAAATCAAGATCTGCTTTACCCAACAGTGTGGTGCTGTCCACTCGGTCAGCATCTGGAGAAGAAAGGAAAACAGTCAGCAAAACCGACACTTCGCAGGCTCTTCGTCCTCAAGCCGGAGGAGGGGACGGCGCCCAGGTCTGCTCAGAGAGGCAGGGCGACAGTGACCAAGAACCTGGATGCCAGCTCGGGCAGGCCGGGGGGGGGGGGGGGGGGGCCACAGGCCAGCGAGCACCCCCCCTCCAACCAGTGTCAGCGTGAGGACCGGGAGGTCAGCACGTGGCGCAGCTGGGCCAGCCTGGCACACAGGGAGAAAGGGCACCCGCCGTCACAGTCATGGCTGTCAGTGCTGCGACAGCACCTCTCCAGTCAGGAGAGGTCCTTCACGAACGTCAGGACAATGTCCTTAAGGACCCAGTCACGGATTATAAGTCCAGAAGATCTTTCGGCCCCGACAGCTTGTCAGATCCGCTCAGCTGCCAGGGTCTGGGAACGCGGCCTCCGCGGGGCCAGGAAGGCACCCAGGGGCCCGCGCTCATGCGGGTGTCCATGAGGTCCTGGTCCTCCAGGGAGCCGTGCGTGCAGTGGCAGGAGAGGCCGTGGGTAGGGGCAGGATGGGGAGCGCCTCTGCCCCGCTCCAGAGCCAGGCCCGTGGGCCTGTCTGGGACACACCGGATTCCAGTCCCAGCTCCAAAATCTCTGGGAACTACCTGGGCAAGCGATTGACCTCTCTGAGCTCGTCTCACCACCTGTCAAATCACCTATTAGAGGCCGTGGATACTGGGACTGAAAATGAAGGTCTCAAGGAGGGGAAACTCAGAGCGGAGTGTGGCCCAGCAAGCGTCCGGCCCGGCTCCTTCTCTGCCTCAGAAACGGACTAGTGCCCTGACTCTACTCTCCTCCGTGGAGATGCAACTTAAGCCGGTCCACAGGCTAACCACTGGCAATTCTGACTAGGACTAGTGGGGACAGACGACGCTACTGGACCCTGTGTGCATCCAGTTACCCGTGATCTTGGCACCCCCTAGTCTTCGAGGTCACAGCGGGCACATGCAGTGGCTACGTGGCTGACCCAGTTCCCCTGCCCGGTGCAGCAGGGCTCGGTTCTTGTTGTAATTAAATCCAGCCAGTCCAGGGGCGCCTGGGTGGCTCAGTCGTTAAGCGTCTGCCTTCGGCTCAGGTCATGATCCCAGGGTCCTGGGATCGAGCCCCGCATCGGGCTCCCTGCTCCGCGGGAAGCCTGCTTCTCCCTCTCCCACTCCCCCTGCTTGTGTTCCCTCTCTCACTGTCTCTCTGTCAAAAAATAAATAAAACCTTAAAAATAAATTAAATCAATCAATCAATCAATCAATCAATCCAGCCAGTCCAGACCTTTCCAAGTCTGCCGTCATCCCTGTTTTATGACCCCAAACTTAAAGCCATTAACTGCCCTACGTCAGGATGACCAATTTAAAACCTGCTCCATTATCTTGGTCATTCCTGGCAGTTCCCCAAAAGCTGGGCCCAGGAGAATTACTTAAAAAGGTGCGTTGCACGCAGCAGAACAGGGTAAAGATGTTATGTGCAAAAAGATGTAAGTCTTCGTGAGACCATTCTGTGCCTCTGCAGTTTTAACTTGTAAAACGCAGCGAGGGCATGAGGGCACATGAGGACTCTGCACTCTCCCAGCTTCGGTGTCTCCCCTGCAGACACTGGCAGGGCGCTGGATCCTGGCTAAGGTAATCGGATGCACGGCGAGTCATCTGAAATGGGAATAAACTCGGACCGCCATCGGCACAGCTTTAAGCACTCACGTCCTGTGAACAGAGGTCACCATCACACCAACTACCCCGGCTTTCTATTTGGCACACACACCTTTTTAAGATCACCGGAGGGCTCGGGAACTTAGTGGTACGGAAGTTACATCTCCGTTTTATTTTACAGCTTGTAAATTGTATCTCAAAACAAAAAGGAAAAACCGGAAAGAACTCAATCATTCTCATACCTGGAAAGGTCGAGAAAGAAAACCCCTACCTGGACTGCGCTGCCTGCAGATCTGAGTGGCAAGGTCCTGCACGTAGCCAGGAAAGTGGTCAAAACAGTCCCCATAGGACACGACTTTAATCCCATGCAAAAGCATGTCTGCTTGGTGCTTAAAGAAATGGTCTTCATTCTCCTTGAGCACAACCATGTAGTGCTCCAGCTCCACCTTGTTGGGCACCGAGTACAGGAAGAGGGCCTGGAAGATCTGGTCACGAAGGGTCTCTCCACAGCCCACAAACAGGAAGGACTTGGTGCGGTACAAGTTCTGGAGGACTTCCTATGGAAAAACCAATGAAGAGCCTGGAACACTCATCCTAAAGACAGCGAGATCCTTGGCCCGACCGCCAGCTATAGGTTACACCTTTAGAAGGTGGCTCAGTGACAGGCCCTTCCCACCAGCCACGCCGGGGACAGAGTGAGAGAGGCAGCGCGCCCTCCAGACGTGCTGTTCACGTCAGCCCAGCGCCGCAGGCGAGCAAACAGAGGCCCACGCTGCGCGGACATCCCTGCTCGGTGCTCATGGGAGCCCCTTCCTCTCCCAGGTGGGAAAACGGGTGCAGACCCCAGTCAGGTCCAGTGTAGATGTGCCTCCAAGTGAGGAGAGCCTAATGCCCACCCCACCCAGCCAGCCGGCCACCCATCCTGTGGTGCAGCCCCTCAACTCAGATCTTCTGGGGCTATGTATAATTTTAAATTCTTAAAACACGAAATAAGGACCTTCCATTTGTTTCTGTTCAGAATCGTGCACATGGAACACTAGGGAACTGGTGTGTCTCCACGGATCACAGGCGGGAGCCAGGGGGCTGCTGTCAGGAGAAAAGGGTTTTCGGGAGCGAGAGCAGAAGAGCTGAGGGAGGAGGGGACCCATGACAGTGACCCAAGGGAGCCGGGCAAAGGGGGTGGCAAAGATTCAGGGGGCCACTCAGGCACGCAGCAGAGAGTCACCGCTTCAGACATCCAACACCTTAGCGAGAGGGCCCATGTCCACCCAGGCCTCTCTCAGCCCCCAACGGCGTCCAGTCACCCGCCGGGCCACAGGTGCGCCCCAGGCCGGGATCAGCACAAGGACCAGAGCGCCGGACCCAGGATGACCAGGGACTCAGTGAAGATACCGGGGTTTCTAAATGCGCTAATAAAAGACTTTACAAAAAGCTGAAAAGCAGCTTTTCCACTCTTCGTCTTCTCCAGGATATCAAAAAAGCCCCCCAGAGAATGAAGTTGTAAAATGAGGTTTTGAAAGCGAGAGAGATTGCCACGCAGAGAAAGGAGGTGCCTGAAGCCGTGCGCACACGCAGGCGGCGGCAGGAGCTCCCCGAGCGAGTGCGCACGGTCGGTGCAGGGCCCCGCAGGCCGCCCGGGGCAGTCGGACTCAGCGCGTGAGCACGGGGCATCCGGCCGAGGCGCCAGCGCCTGGAGAGCCAGCTGCGAACAGGGCCAGCTGTGTGCACCGCAGGGCAGGTGGGCCTAGAGGCCAGGAGACCGCCCGGACGGCCACCAAGTACCTAGTGGCCACCGCGTCCCAAGGGACACAACCAATGCCTAATGAAGGCGGGCCGTACCATTACTTCTGGGTCCTGTGTGACATCTTTATACCCCGACGGGTCCAGGACCAGCCCGCAGGGGTCTGTGTACAAGCCGTGAATATGAAGAACGCCGTACTTGATGTGCCCTCTCGCCCACTGAAGGACCTGTCAAAATCAAGCCAAGACAAAGGGGAAAACCGCGTGTTACTTAAAACAGAAGAGGAAACTGGGTGCGTGGTCTTTCCAACCGACCTCGGAGAGAACAGGGAGCTGCCTCGCTTCACAATGCTACCTGCAGAGCCCAAGCACCAGCGGGCTACTGGTGCTGCTGCTCCCGTGGGGCCGGAGAGGACAGCAGCACGGACAGACGGCCGTGCGGACACCACCTCTGGCCCCCGACACCCAACACACCGTCGGGACTGGTGACTTTAGGGGGCTGAGAGGATCCCTTCTGAGGGGCACACTGTGCTTTAACTCCTGCTGTGTGTGTGTTGTGCTTACACCCAGAAAAAAGAGATACGGAAAAAAAATAAAATAACCTATCAAATAGCTCTACACCGATTTCAAGCTCTAGAACAAAAGTCCTTAAAAAGTGGCATATCCCGCATGCTGCAGTTTGTCCTCGTGGTACGACCCAGACAGATGAGCCGGCCGGCACCTCCGCCATGAGCCCTTGACAGCCTATTTCCAGAGATGCTCTTCCCAACAGCAAGCAGGCCTCAAAGAAGGGACCGGTCTCAGGGGTAGAGAGCGGGTGTCCCCTCACGTGTCACTAACAGCTCAGGAGAGGGTGTGACTTGTGGCCGCACGGGCACCGTCCCATGGGCTGTCCCACAAGCACGTGGCCATCCGCCAGACTTTTGCCAAGCTCTGCAGCGGGGAAGAGCCGCGGAAGAGAAGCTCGGGGTCTGAGCCCGCCGCAGCCGCACTCTTACTCGGGGCCTCAAGGGGGCGCCCTCTCTAGGCCTTGGGTTCCTGCGAGGAGGGTGGGAGACCACCCTCAGGGCAGAGCCGAGAGGTGGGGGAGGGGAGGGGTGCCCGGTATTAGTAAGGACATAAAATCTTGAAGCAAATAGCAAAGGACACAGGTCACAAAAGAAATACAGTCAATACCATGAAATCATGATCAACCTTAACAAGGAGAGAAACAAAAATGTAAAAATGTTCACCAATTTTCACCTCAACGGGGGAAATGTGTTTTGTTTTCTGGTGACACCATGCGTTCGCAAGTCATGGGAAGGGGATACTCTCCCATGTGGCTCATGAAGTTTTAAACTGGCTACTATCTTTCTGGAAAGCAATCTGGTAACATATCATCTGTCTAAAACACTCGGGCCCTTGGACCCCAGAACTCTTCTAGGAATTTACCCTAAAGAAGTAAACAGAAAGACAAGGAAGCATAAGGATTTTCACCATAGTGTTACTTATTATCAAGGAAATATGCTAACGATAATAGAGGAAGGCTAACAATTATACTTTGGTTTGATGATGACACTGCCATTTACAAACATGCTTTTTTTTTTTAAAGATTTTATTTATTTATCCGACAGAGAGAGACACAGCGAGAGAGGGAACACGAGCAGGGGGAGTGGGAGAGGGAGAAGCAGGCTTCCCGCGGAGCAGGGAGCCCGATGCGGGGCTCGATCCCAGGACCCTGGGACCATGACCTGAGCCGAAGGCAGACGCTTAACGACTGAGCCACCCAGGCGCTCCTACAAACATGCTTTTAAACACAGCTTAATGACAGCAAAATGCTCAAAGTATAATATTAAGGAAGAAAATCAAGATAAAAACGCTACACATGGCATACGGCACAATCCCGACTTGTGAACGAGGGGACGGGCCCACCCAAGCTTCGCAGCACTAGGGCCAGGGGCGATTTTGCTATCGGGACTCTTCTCGCCCCTAGCCGTCCCCCGACCCCGCACACACACCTCGGGCCTGTAAGGAGTCCACGCACACGAGAAGCCTGCGGGACAGAATGCACATGGAGACAAGGGTGGGCGGTGAGCAAAGTCCGGAGTCGGGAAGGGCTCAGGGTCACTAACTTGTTAGAAAATGAAAGCTCAGTCCGCCTCCCAAGCAGCGCAGACACCGCCCACCCCCCCCCCCCCCCGCCAGCCCCCCCCACCAGCCCTTTGCCTCCTCCCTCCCTCCAGCCCGCAGCCCGCACCTTCGTCTTATCCTTCAGGTCCAGAGACTCCATGGGCTTGCTCTGCTGCTGCCCGAAGAGCTCCAGCAGGTTGTCGTAGTTGGTGGTCAGCACCATGGTGCCCCTCTCCATCAGGCTGAGGATGGACTGCAGCACCAGCGGGTTCTGGATGTGCTGCTCCAGGTTGTCGAAAATCTCCATCAGGCAGTCCTGGAAGAAGTTGGGCTTGGTGTCACCCGTACGCTACAAAGAAGTGGAACAGAAGTTACTAAAAACACCCTCTTCTCCGCAAGTACCGAGCACCTAAGCAGCAATGTTCTGGTGCTGGTTTAGAAGAAAGGAAACCCTGACTCGTCGAGTTAATGAAACCCTGGGGGAGGGAGACAGACCGTGGACAAATCGTAAGTGATACATCGGTAGCGGCCAACGCTACGGGAAACAAAGCCGGGTGCTGCTGGGGGCGCAGGCTGGGGGGGCCGAAGGGCACCAGGGAGGGCCTCTGGTAAGGGGCGTCTGAGCAGAGAACTGAGGAAATGAGGGGCCTCTGAGAGCGCGTCCCAAGCAGAGGAAAGAGCAAGTGCACAGGCACCGAGGGAGCAACAGCACGGGTGGGTCCAAGGGTGAGCAAGGGGTCCCGGTCGCAGGAGAGGAGTGTGGCTGAGGTCAGCGGGTGAGGCGATCCGCAACCAGATCGTGTGAGGCTCTGAAGACCACAGGGAAGGCTTCAGATCCCCCCCCCCCCCGCCCCGCGCTGCAGAGGTCCTGGTGTAGAGGAAATCTCCAGTTAGGGGAAAACCAGTATGGTCTCTGCTGCTGAGAGATTCGGCCTCTGGACGGAGCAGCTGAGCTGCTTCAGGCGAGTGGCGGGGACCAAAGCCTGGCTGGGCCGGGCTCCCGAGGACAGGTAAGCATCTGGCAGCAGCAAATGCACACACCTGTCGGGGGGGCCCTGCTGTGAGGGGAGGAGTGGGCTGGAGGCTGGCTCGCGGGGTCAGGCGGTTTCCCGCGCTCCAGGAAGACCGAGCCTCCCCAGGCACCCCGCCAGCGCCAGCTGAGAGGTCCACGGAGCCAGGACTGTGCACTGACACCAAACACCTCGGCCCGCCCTCAGGACTGTCCATCAGAGGTCACTCCGTCCCCGTGGATGTCGCAGGTCACAAGACCCTCGTGTGAGCACTCCTGGCTCTCCGCACTCCCTGACGCTCTCGTGTCCCTCCCCAATCCTGGAAACCCTTCCCTTGTTCCCAGTGGGCCCATCAGCAGGAAACCCCCACACCTTCCTCTTCTTGTATGAGGCGCCGGAAACCGGCCCTCGCCATCCCCGAGGCCCTCACGCCCGCCGGGCCTGGGAGGGCAGGGGCGGATGGGGGGCTCGTCGCCGAGTCTCCCCAGCGGTACTCCTGGCACAGTCCCTGCCGGTCTCTTCATCCCCTGAGATGGCTGCTGTGCATCATGGCCTCCCCCACAGACCTTGTCCCACCTTGGCCACCCAGGCTCCGGTCACATCCCACGCCTATCACTCCCAAGAGCGGGGCCCTTCCAGAACTTCTGGCCCAGGCTCCCACCATCTGACCCTGCAGCACCTCGGCTCCCAGGGCTGCCCCAACCCCGTCAAGGCCAGCACACCACCAGCTTGGCGGCCCCGAACCCTGGGGGTCTCGAGCCCCGCCAGCCTCACTTCTCCCACTCAGCAGCCGACACCCCATAATCTGTCACTGCGACCACCCTCCCAGGCAAGCTTCCCACCTCGCCACCCTTCCCGCACTTTGCTGGATTTCCTGGCAACTCGGATACAGCGCCCCCCAGCCCGCCCCGTGCTCCGCCTGCTCAGCATGGTGCAGGGGGACCCCAGAGTCCTGACTGGCCTTGCTTTAACTCCCGTTTAGCAAGTCTTATGTGAATGGGAGCTCTAACTGGGTTAAACAAGCGCCAGCCTCGCTGGCCTCTCTCTGAATGAAGCACCTCACCTGAACGTGCCCCCCCCCACCTGCCCCTGGCGCTGCCCAGCACCCCCACCCTTCTGTCCACGGACCCGGCCCCTCCTCCCAAGACAGGGCTCAGCAACCCTGTCCATAAAGGATCAGAGAGCCACTGTTTGAGGCTCTGTGGGCCTCAGGCTCTGTCACAACTACTAGACCCTGCACCCCAGCATGAAAGCAGCCACAGACAACATGCAAATGACCCGTGCGGTTGTGTACCAGTAACTGGATTTACAAAACGGGCGGCGGGCCAGGCTTGGCGGGGCTGTAACCGGCCAGCCCTGCCCTAGATCCCAGTTGCCCCGTATTAATAGAACACCCCCACGTGGGAGAGCTGCCAGGCTGAAAACCCTTCCCAGGCTCTGGGAAGCTGGGTACAGCCACGTGGTCGATGTGGCTCCCTCATCAGGCCCTGGAGGGGAGGAGGCAGGAGCTCCCCTCCGTGTCCCCCTCGCTGGATAGGCACACCATCATGGCAGGAGCCAGGGGGGAGGCTACCTCACAACACGAGGCGGAGGCCATGCCACGAAGACAGCAGAGCAGCAAGACAGGGCCCAGGCCTCCAACACTGGCCACCCACCTGCTCTCCCGCGGCTGCCAGCCAGATGCTTACGTGGGAAACAGAAACGTGATCACGTGGAAGCCAATAGTGGGGGTGTCTTTACGGCCGCTAAACTCTCCCAGGCTCCCTGATGACTGTGCAGACTCCTTTCCATGCTTTCTGTGAAGCGTCTCCAACACCTTCCCCCACCACCACCCCCCCGAACTCTCAGAGGATTGCTGTGCTTTAACAAATCTAGAAGTAGCGAGCAGAAACCCGCCACGAGCCTCTACCACGTCATGTGGCTTCCCGGCGGCTGACCTGGCCGAGCAGCTGCCCGAGGCGAACCCCCACTCCCGCACCAGCGCCCGACTTGAGGGCATCCCTTGGTGACGGTCTCCTGTACGTCCTCTCTACTAGATCACTTCTACCTGCAGACAAGCAGCTCTAACTTCTCCCATCCTCAACAGTTTGCAGGAACCACCTGTCATCTGAAGATCCGTGGATGGCCTGCTTACACCCAAAACACACTTCGAGGACACCCCTCCACTAACGGAGTATGAAATCCTGCAGCACGGCGACATCACAGATGCCCCCGCACAGGTTCAGGCCCCGGCTAGGCTAGCAGGGGACGCTTCAGGAACCGCCCCCCGCCCCCGACACCCCGGTGCGCCTGGCATCACCGCTGCTGAGACAGGTGCTATTCTAACGGACTTGAAACTTCCGGCTCATCAGCCTCCCTCTGCCGAGAGCTGCGCACAACAGAGGCTCGTAGAAGCGTGTGTGTTAGAGCCACAGGTTCACCGACTCAGTCGAGAACCATGTTACCCCAGGGAACCTGGAAGCGACTGTCTGGAAAAGACTTACAGGGGACATCTTCCGGATCAGATCATGCGCGACCACCAGCAGGTCCCGGTCCTTCGTCACCTTCCGGCGGAACTCCGCCACGTCCCCCGGGTGAAGGACCTCCAGCTGCTCAGCGGCCTCGATGACCGCCTCGATGCAGCCCCTCCACGAGCAGAGAGCGGGGATCCCCGGGGCCACGGCAGCGCTGACGCCCGTCCCGATGACCAGCAGCAGCTCCTGCGGCTGCTTCCGGATGAGGCTTTTCAGAAACTTTCTACTTAACACAACGGAAGGAGAGAACAGAAGTCAACACGTAAAGTATCGCAGCCACAAGGAAAAACAGTGCCTAGGAATATCTGTGAAGTGTGAGGTCAAACATGGCCACACGCCCTTCCCCTACCGCACACCACCGGATGATAAAGCCTGTGCATTATTCTCTTCTGTGTATTATTTTACACGTTCTATCCTCGTTCCATTAAGGACCTGGGGACAGTTGTGTCTTATTCATCTTGAGGCCCCCATGGTGTTAAGCACCCATTTAAGTGATACACATGGGAACAAAAAGCTATCAATTTTAATTCCTTTGAAGCTGCCAAGAGCCTGTAAATACCAAGCATGATGACAAAACGATCCCTGCTTGCAGTGACAAGAAAATTCCTGGCCAAAGCTGGTTTTCTGCCTCTTACACACCCGAGCCCCTCCCAAGCTAACACCTCCTGTGATCTAGCAACACTTTTAACAAGAACCAACCGTGGTCCACGGAGGGTCAGAGAGTGCTCGCCAGTGACTCCTGGCATGCCTCGTCTCAGACTTGACTCTGGGACCACATGTTGCTTGGAGACCAGGTTACTGTCACCTCTTTGGGCAAAGAGAAAACTGCCTTCTGGAACATTTCTCATGCTGAAGCAAAGGGTGGCTGCACGACCCCGAGCTTCCCTCCTGACACAAGGTTCTCACTCCATGCTCACCTCTGCAGGTGCTAAATAAACATAAGTAACACCGAAGGAGACGTATGACAGAGGCCATCTACCTGTGCAAAGGTGTAGCTGACTTTATTTACCTGGATTTTTGTTCACTTCTGTTTGTTGTCTTTTCCACTGGATCCATCTGTAAATCCTAAAGAGAAAAATTAGTCAGAAGTGACTTCCATTTCCCAGATAAAAGTTCTTTTATTATATATATTATATATATGAAGAGAGTTCAAGCAGCAATTAAAATCAAAGGTCCTGGATCTTTATTTAAATTAGAATACCTAAAAAATGTCATAGACAAAACACAGACTTCGTAAGCCACTGGTCCCTCCAACCAGGCCAGGCAAAGCCTCAGAGGCAGATTCTCCACAGCTCTGCACTGGACAGAAAAGGAACAAAAGGGAACTCGCATCCCACCTGGACGGTGCAGGGGGTGCAGTGGTGGGTGTCCCTTGCCGCCCCCTTTATGACTCTACTGCTCCAGAAGGGTTTCCAGTGGACACGAACACAAATGACTTATCACAGAAGGAGGAACGGAAGGTGGGCGAACAGAGTGAAGCCAGGAAGCGGTTTCTCAGGGGTGTCTATGTGCCCCGTGGGGTGCGGTATCCTAGCGCAGACGGAGCCCGGCCCCACCCAGCAAGTCTTCCGGGGCACAAGCCCCTTGGCCAAGCTCAAATCCAGTCCAAAGAAAGAGTATAAGTAAAAGGTCAATTCTTAGTTTATGTAAAACAAGAATCTTAAACCAGCTAGGTCTCTATTGCCAAACTATCTCCATATTCTACAAATTCTGCAGAATCACTTTCCTCCAATTCCAGAATATTTACTGTAGACAAGGAAATATACAGAAAAATCAAGCTGAAAAAGCCCATAACCCTACTACCAAATGAGCAAGAACTGTTATGAACATTTGCATATGGCCTCTAGATGGTTTACATTTTTCCCAACATTTGAGTCCAAAGGTCCAGCCCACTTTTTTCCATGCGTTATAATAAAAGCATTTTCCTGACAACCATCTTTGTGCACAAAGATTTTTCTCTATTTTGGAATTTTTTTTTTAGGAGAGATTTCTGAGAATTGCTGAGTTAAAGAATATAGTACAATATTTCAGCACATACTGGCAAACTACCTTTCAGAAAAATGGTCAGCAGAATATGGGGGTGCCCTGCCTGAAAACCACCTTTCTACATGTGCAGTCTTGTTTTTTTTAATCTCAGTTAGAATCAGGTCACCAAAAATAATTTCCTAGGGTAGGCAAACAAGGCTTAATCACCTTATGGCTTCATTAGATTTTAGAGCTAAATGGGTTCCTAAGAGTGTCCCCTGACAATGTACACACAACTGTGTAGACGCCTGGATGCCTCTTCCCACCCTGCCCTCCCCGCCCCATCCGGTCCCATCCGGTCCAGTCCCTCCCCACCCCTGCCCGGGGGTGGTGGGGGCGGGGGGGGGGGGGTTGTTCAGAGCTTCCATCAAACTCCCAATGGTGTCTGTGACCTTTCCCCAAATGTTAAGAAATCTCAGTCCACAGGCAAGAAAAATGCTGCTTCCAGATGCCTGTCATCTGTCCAAAGGGAAAGCCTGGCAAAGTTAGGGCTGGTTCTCCACCTTCACTCCATCCTCCTTCCCGATACAAAGTTACTACAAGAGCCATCAGGGTCAAATCTTTTTTTAACCTACTAGATATCTTCTAAGGAAAATAACAAATATTGGGGCTTTCCACTACATTAAGAAACCCTGGATGCCAGCCCTGAGATTTCAATGGCTGACCTAACTATTCACCAATCCTCGGTTTTAACAAGTATAAAATACAAATTCTTGCTAACCAAGTTTTGAAAGCTCGAGAATCTCTCCTATGAAAGGTGTTCTGGAAGCTCCGTTTGCTGAGTCCAACGGCTCAGGCTCTGACACGCCAACAGGGCGGCTTTCTTAACCTCCCACTTCAGGGCAGAACTTGAAACTCATTCCTACTCAATCCTATTGGACAAGTGAGTATGAGATGCTTATCAGCTGACTAATCCAACTGCCTCCCACCCCTGCCCCCCAAAATCATGCACATCCCTTTGAATAGTTACTCCTGGGAAGGGGCCTTTTATCTCAGCCTCCTCTGCACAGCATTGTATTTTTTAAACAGTCACTGGTCAACCAAAGACTTAAGAAATGGCCCAAACAGCTTCCGTGGTAAAGACCTTTAAAAACCTACCTGTAGTTCTTTCAATTCTTGTGCAACTTCGTGCTCGTGGAGTCCTATGCAGGACTATCGTACAAACTGGAAACCTAAATACTGCATTTGCACATCTGCAAAAGGGTATGAACAATTCAAACTTCTGTGGGCTAGACTTAACTCCAAAATTATGTGATCCCACAGTTTTCCAAAAGAACTTATCCCCATAAGCACTGAACACTTACAGAACAGATCCCAGCTCGCCCTCCCGTGCCGTCTGCTGCTGGCTTAAATGCTCAAACCTCTTTGTCTGCCTGAGCTTGATGAAGGTCAGGAGCTGGCTCCTCAGACGGCACTTAAAAAACAGAATCCCAGGCTCCTACCTCAACAGGCAGATGCACCTCTAGACTTCCACACCACTGTGCACCTTTAAGAATCAAAGTCAACAACAGGGAAGTCCCCAGTGATAGGAAGTCTCCGCACAGGCAGTGGGATGAGCCGCTCGGCTGCCCATATTTAGACATCCACAGCTCATTCTTAAGACTGCATGCTAGAGACACGACCTCACTTCCTGTTCTTCCGGCAGAGTTCACATCAGAGCCAAATCTCACCAGAATCTAGAAAGTACCCCCAAATCGCTCCTTCTTCTGAAACCAAGGGCCAAGGAGATTTCCAAAGCAACTAGTACCAGATGCAGGACGGGCGGCAAGCCTCTGCCAGTCGGCTCCCATACTCAACACTGCTCTGCTAAGCCAATCAGCTTCGCTACGAACGAAGGCAACAACAAAAGCCTTCAGAGACCTTTTAGAAGCTGCATCTTTTGGTTTCCTTGGTGACCGTGCCGTCACCACAGTTCGCAGGCCCAAAGCCAAGTCTTCATAGCAACCCTTTTTTTTTTTTCCCAAGGACTTATCAGCATTTTCTGAAAGCAAACTCAGCCCCACACAGATCTGTAGAAGCAGTTTCTGTCCTTTTCATCTAAAGCCATGAATAAAAGTCCTCACAGGATGTTTCTGCTTCAAACCTGAGATCATGAGCATATTATGAACTAGCTTCAGAGTAGCCAGAGACTGCCTTATTCTTTGAACCCCCAACATCCAGCACGAAAGAAACGTTCATCACACTGAGTCCAATGCAAAAGAGAATCAACTATGAACACGGCCCTTGTTATTTACAGCCAGTAACACAAAGCCCCCCCCAACTCCCTAACCCCACTGTATCAGACCGCTCCTGACCTTCCCCTACCATCCTGCCTCCTGCTCATCACGCCTGTGCACAGTCCTGTGCTTTGACTCTGGGGCCAGCAGTCTTGGAACTCGGGCCTGGGAAAGCATGGTCCCGCCTCCCGGGAGGGTGAATGGCCTCCGGGGGAGGGCTGAGGCACACTGTCAAGACACCCCAGCACCCGTCCGCCCAACACGTCAGGAGCTGCCTGGGGCTATTCGGTGCCAGTCCAGCAGCCAGATCACAACTCCAGGAGATCCCAGGGAGGCCTGCCGAAGACCCGCGGAACCAGGCCCAGATGCTGATCCACAGAAGTGACCTCCGAAGCACTCACTACCCTGTTGTCCGCTGCCAACAAGAGCCCAGGGGTGGGAAAGGATGATGACAAAAGTGTCAAGAGAAGAAAAAAGGAATGAACAGCTCCATGAGGGCTCCAAACCACAGCTTTGGGGGGGGGGGAGAAAACGTTTGTCCAGAATAGTCTTTATTATTAAATTAGCATAACAAAAAAGTTAAATTGAAACGAATTGCTTTCTATTACAAACTACACTTTCACTTTTACAAGCACAAACCACAATTTCGAATCTGTGGGGTCCTCAAAAGTATCCTTAGAAAAACCTCTTCATTTTTTTCTCTAAATGGGTTTTATGCAGCGAGATGGGAGCTCTTGAGTTGTGTAACACCTGGTTACTGGGGAAGAGGGCTGAACTTAGATGTATACGCAAAATACACCCCTCTCACACAGCCGGGGAGGGGATGCTGCAAATATCTGCTGAAGTTTCCAGATGTTAGCTTTTACTTCACCTGTAGTCGATCCCCAGAGTGATGGAATGAGATGCTCCCAGAACATGTGGGAAAAGTCTGACACTGGTCACTGTGTGTGACTGTAAGTAACCATGCTTTCCCAGGCACGCCCTTGTAGAACACACTAGCAAGACTACCACCTGCTACTGTTACCTACTGTTACACAGTAACCCACGCTGAGAAATGATGTAACGATGTGCTGCTCACAGAAGACAGGAGACTGGGGGAGCGGCGGGGGGACGGGTTAGAGGCACCCTGCATGCTTGAAAATCTGCGTCTCACTTTTGACTCCCCCAAAACTGAACTACTAATAGCAAGAGCCACAAGGGATCACTTTTTACTGAGACACAAAATTTACGGAGAGATGAACCGTTCGCGGCGAGATTAGCACACAAGCCATTTCAGGCAGATCGGGCAGTCCTCGAACTCCCCACATGCGCAACAGGCGTTAGCCACAAAATACGGACAGCCGGACAGGGTTATTCCAGTCAATTTTATGCAGTTACGTTTTCATACTTCATCTCTACGTTTGTTTACATTTTCTCTCCACTGAGAATGAAGTCATGTACCGTCTATAAATTTTGATGAGTTTTAACTTTTTTATAACAGATTTGTGTAGACTTCATGGTAGTAAATGATAAAACAGACTAGTACCTACAAATATCTTACACATTCATGACATACCTAACTTTTTCTGAATGTTTTAGTTCAAGGTTATGCAGCTTGTCTGGTTTTTTTTTTTTTCCAAACTGTTGCAAATCTCAAAATACACGTCCAACAGATTTACTGAAAACAGTCTGTGTGTAAGTGGACCCACACAGTTCAAACCCGTGTTGTTCAAGGGTCGACTGTTACTAGTATTAAGTGTAATCCATGGAACCAGTGTGGTTCCTAAGGACTGGGATGTCCTACAAGGAGGCCAAAATCCAGCCGGTGTACCCTCGCTCCACCAAGGCGGGCCTGGAGCCCTGGGAAGCATAAAGCAGCCTTTCCCGGTGCGCCTCCCCCTGCAGCACCCTCCGGCGGCTCCCAAAGCTCCTGACACCGACACTGCTGGTCAACTCCGTCCCCTCCTTTTACTCCGATGGGGTTCCCACAAATGGCCTTTTTCTTTCTTTTTTTTTTTTAAGATTTTATTTCTTTATTTGACAGAGAGAGACACAGCGAGAGAGGGAACACAAGCAGGGGGAGTGGCAGAGGGAGAGGCAGGCTCCCCACCGAGCGGGGAGCCGGATGCGGGGCTCGATCCCAGGACCCCGGGACCACGACCCGAGCCGAAGGCAGACGCCCAACGACCGAGCCACCCAGGCGCCCCAAACTGCCTTTTTCATAGCAACCTGGCCCCCCATGTGGACTCGGGGGTGGGGGGGCACAGAAGCAGAAATCACTGGGTAACCAGAGTAGGCTTCTAAGAACATCTGACAGCCGTACTTCCAATCCCATATGAATCATCTGGGAGTGATAAAGGTACTTGTGGCGAGTTTGATTAGCATGACTAGGTCCGCCTGATCTGGAAACAAGGTGCAAATGGACAACAATCAAGCTTCCAGAACTGCAAAAGAGAGGTTTAGCCCAGAGACCACAACGGAGGCAGCACTGGGGCCACCAAGGGGGAAACACCACCCCTTCCCCAGCAGGGACACCTTTCTGAACCTGTTTCCAAATGTGTCAGCTGTCTGTGAAAACTTCAGGCAAGTCCACCATCCCAAAGATTCTTAATCAGCTGTAAAATGTTTACCGCTATAAACTACTGGCGCAGCGGCGGACCACCCTCAACATCTGGGGGCTTCCAGCTCGACCACATACTCATTTAGCCACAGTTCTGCTTAGATTTCCTCCCAGCCGTTACTAACAAGGCATCTTTGGGACGATCGGTTTTTCTTCAATTTACAGAAAACACAAAACCTTAATTTGAACACATGACAACTGACCAATCACTTTTTAAATGTAGTCAAAATAAGCTACCACAGGGGGGGAAAAAAATGCTTATTTTTAACAGTTATAACGTATTCATTTGTTTCTTGAAACCAGTGCCTCCAGAGTTGCTTGGGCATATATCCCAAAGGAAGAAAACAACAAAACCTACCACTCATAGGAAATGTCCAAGTCACAGTTTGGTTACAATGGCAACATGAGTTACTGGCATTTCCTGTACCCTTACTCGATTCAGGGGAAAGTACTTGGCTCTTGACACGCATTATCTCACGTAATCCTGTTAAGAACCCTGCGAAGCAGTCCTTACCATTGCCCCTCATCTGTCGAGGCCGACAGCAAACCCAGAGGCCAGTCACCAATGGTAAATACAGTCCTGTGCGCTTTCTCCTGACCCGAGTGCAGCTCAGAACGGCAAACAAATATACCTGACATTTTACCAGCAAACGCGCCAACCACCAGTGTTCTCTGTTTCACAGCGTGTCCATCAGATGAGACACGTCGAATTAACTCAAATAGACACGTTACTTAGTGAGAAGCCAATAATGGTGAGACACACCACCACAAAGGCCAAAGGCAGGCTGACCCACCAGCGTTTAACCATCCCAAGAAAAATAAGAGATGTTCTAGAAAGTAAACCTCTAATGAGATGTTAACATTACAGAATCCTAGAGCTGGAGGGATCCAAATGGTTATGGGATGCCAGATGCCCTAATTTTAGAGCAGTGAAAAACGGAGACTCTGGGAGGTAGTGACTTAGTCCCGGCCCCCCGAGGAGTAGGGACAAGCTAGAAACTCGCTCCGGGCTCAGGGCCCCTAACCTTGCACCAACCTGGGTACTACCTGCTCCCCTGCGAGTCCAAAACTTCCTCTAAGGCACTCATTGCAACTAAGGCACCTCTTTTTACCACCAAATCTTCACAAATAACCATGGCGTTTAGCAGTTTCACCGGCTCCCTTACACGGCTCATTTTCCAGAAATGCTAAGAACAGCAGCTGCCGTGAGGAAGTCTAAGAGGTTGCAGGCAAAACCACCAGCTCCCAACAGTTTTCTGTTTGGTCTAGGCCGGCTCAACACCCCACGGTCTATGCTGACTTCAGCGGGGACAGACCAGACGCGCAGGGCTGGGCAGGAACCAATGCCACCTCTCAAAAGGATTTCACTCTCCCAGCAAGGAGAGGCTCTAGGCTCTAGCAGCGTCTCTAGGAAAGAGCCCAGACTTCGTAGTTCAAACAACCAGGCGCTGGTTGTACTACTTAACACAGGGGTAGGTAACTTACTCTGGGTCTCTCTTTACCTGTAAAAAAGGAATCCTATCTCAAGTCTCCTAGGGTTGCTGGAAACATTAAAAGGGTAACATTTAAAAGAACACAGCCTAAAACAGGATGCTTCCCACTACACCCTGTATGTGACTGGCTGTCCTTCCTGGATTTAATTAAAATTAAATAAATCTACAAATTCAGTTCTTCAGTCCCACCAGCCTCATTTTAAGTGCCTGATAGCCTCATGAGACCAGTGCCTCGGAGAACACAGATCCAGAATGTTTTCACCACCACACAAAATCCCATGCCCTCGGCCACTGCCTACATCCTCACGACTTGTGTGGACTACGGAGAACCACCCTGCTGCCAGCCCCACACGGTCTCCGGAGGGACATTTCTGACAGGACGCATCTGAACTTGCCTCCCCTTCAGGGCCCCTAAGTCCAACCTCCAACCTCTATCCTGTTTCTTCTCTTCCTGCCCCCTTCACGCTGCCCCCCGTGCCACGTGCGCATCTCCTGCGTGGCTGTGGGGCTCACGGTGACACACAGACAAGCAGTTACCCTGATGAAGCCCTCGGGACCACCCACCCTTTGGGCAAAAGGACACAACCTCTCCCACAGGGACTAATAAGTTCCAAAGTCAATTTCCAGGCAGCAGAGTGTAGGCTCCGACAGGAAAGGGCTGAAGAGCAGTCTCCGGGGTCTAGACTCGAGAAGCACAGCCATGCTTGAGGAAGCCACAGTCACCACTGCCACCACCCCGGTCCGGGACCCTCTATCTCTCAGCCAGCTTCCAGACAAGAGCCGCCCCCCTCCGCTGCCACAACCAGCGATTGTTCATAAACACAAAACCCATTTCCCTCCCCTCCGTAGGCCCCGACTCCGTGCCTGCATCCTGACCCCCCTCACCCACCCCCTTCTTTGCCACT